ATTATTTACAATAATCTAAAATTATGTAACTTCAATAATTATTTAATTTGACACCTAAATTGTCAAAGTCAATTTTTTTAAATTCATCATTTAAATCGAAATAAGATTATTTACAATAATCTTATTTCAGACATAATGATGAAGTAATTATAGCACTAAAATTATGTAACTTAAATAAATTTAAATGTAAATTTAATATGACATTGTCAATCTCACAACTCATACTTTGCTCCAAATAATTTCTTAGGTTATGAAAACAAATGAAAAATATTGATTATATAAATGTATTGTTTCAAACAAATCAATTTGACGTTTTAAGGTTGTCAAATAAAACACTGACGTCCTATAACTTTCAAAGTATACTTGATGACAAATTGGACGACATTAACCATTATTATTATATATTTTAATCTAATCAATCTTATAGTTTAGTTAATTTTTTCATAGTCAAAATTTGATTATTTTTTTTGTTGCTTCGTTAAACGAGGCAATGATTAAGAAGAACAATGAATTATTATTAAGATTTTGTTAATTAAAGCACTTAAATTATGTAACTTCAATAATAATTTAATTTGACACCTAAATTGTCAAAGTCAATTTTTTAAATTCATCATTTACATTTTAAATCATGATAAATTATTTACAATAATCTTGTTTCATGCATAATGATGAAGCATTTTTGTATAAAGCTGCAATTTTGATATATGATCAAGATTTTGTTAATTAAAGCACTAAAATTATATAACTTAAATAAATTTAAATTTATTATGACATTGTCTAAGACAAATATTTTTTAAAAAATCTCACTAAGTTATGAAAACAAATGAAAAATACTGATTATATAAATGTATTGTTTCAAACAAATCAATTTGACGTTTTATGCTTGTCAAATAAAACATTGACGTTTAATAACTTTCAAAGTATACTTGATGACAAATTGGACGACATTAACCATTATCATTATATATTTTAATCAATCTTATAGTTTATTTAATTTTTTCATCGTCAAAATTTGATTAATTTTGTTTCTGTTGCTTCGTTAAACGAGGCAATGAAGAACAATTAGCGAGGTGTGTTTAAAGCTCTCTCAATTACGCTCGACCGGAATGAATAATCGTCCATTAAATTTACCAAATTAAAAACGATATTCGTTACGTTTTTATGAACGTCGCAGCAATTTAACAGAAAAAAAAAATAAATTAGCCTTAAATGAACGCAACGAGCACTAATTTATTCACGCAGTTACATATCTAAATTAACTGTAGTTATAAACATAAAATGGACGTGCCATGTGTTGAAAAACATGCTAACTGCATTCAAACTATTTACTCAATTATTTTATGTTAACTGGAAGAAATTTATTATTTTACTGGCAGGAAAACGATAATTGTATTTACTATATCGCTTTCAATAAATTTCGCCAACTAGATTTTAAATTGGAAACGAACAGGTAAATAAACTTTGGGACAAATGTGCGTTGCCTTGGTAACGAAATAACTCTCTGTGCGAAAAGAAGCGTCCGTTTATAAAGTTGTTGAGTGAGTCAAGAAAAAGTTGCACGATGAGTCTCCTCGCCTCATGTGGCTTCAATTAAGAGGAAACTTCTGCTCCCAGAAACGATTGCTTTCTCGGGTGAGTTTTACATATTGCACATACGAACAGCGTCTCTTATAATTGCAATTTAACATCTTCATATAAAATGACATTTATGTTTTGCACATACTTGAAAACAATGCACAAACAATTGTTTTTAAAACGACTTGATTTCATTAATTTATTTTTAGTAATTGTTTAATTGAATATAATTATGTCTTCAAATAATTATCTTGAAAAATTATGCAATACAATTTTCTAAATTCTAAGAGGAAGTGATTTAACATTGATTGTTTCTGTTATCTGAAGAATTTAATGTAATTTTTTTTTTTTGTTGTTGAAAAATTCCAAAAGATTAAAAGTGTTTTAATGGTGAGTTAAGGTTGAAGACGTTTTTGAGCGATTGCGGTGGGCATTCTTCCGGAGATTAAGTAATTGAGATTTGTGCTGACACAATTAGTAAAAGTAGGAAGTTCCAATTAATCCATTCCCCGGATTACGAGTGATTCTCTCAACTTTTGACTACTGACTGTTGTATTAACAGTTCTTTATTTTTTTCTTTTCATAAAGTATTCAAATCGTTTACGGCGCAACGGCGATTTAAATTAAAATGTAAATGTAAATTTAATTCTCGAAACGATTTATCGTCTGGTCAACCATTGTTTGTATTCACTCCATTGTTCGAAGCAGGAAGAACAAACGAACGAGCAAAGTAAACTTAAACAATTACTGTTTTAAGCTAAAGTGCGAATGGGTTTCGTTTGGTTGGGAAAACAAACAGTTTTGCAGCGTTTGCAAGATAACAAAACAATGTTTGTTGAAGCTGTGGATTGATGGATGGATGTGTACGGATGAATGTTGTTGTTGTTGTTGTTGTTGTTGTTGTTGTGTGCAGAGCTTTTGTGGTTGTTGGTTGTTGCGTGAGGAAGAGAGCGAGAGTTGAGGCAATTTATCGTTCCAATAAAAAGCGATGCCGGTCATAAATCAGGCGGACGGGAATTTCGAAGGAGACATCTAAACTTGTCAAGTGTTGTTACAATAATAAACTGCTATAAGAAACAGGTTTTGTTTATGTACTACTCTCACTCTTTCGTTGCGCGGATACGCACGCCGCATTCTCATCTCTTTTCTCTCTTGAGGGAGCTCTGCTGGTAATGGCACGAAACGCTTTTTCGCTCTCTGCATGTTTGCTTTTGCATTATATACATTTTTTTTTTTTCGTTGTTCTTCGCTTCTGGTTTTGGTACGCTCGTTGTCTTTAACTGGACTTTTGCTTCGGGACGCATCGAATTGCTTTGACCATATAGGTTAAAAAAATAAGCGTGCCCTTTTTACCATTTACCGAAGAACGTTTCAGATGCAGATGAAGATATGGCGAGATCTTCGTACATTTTATGTATTTATACGGCGTCGATAAACTGCTTCCAGTTAATGAAGACCCGGTTTTAATATGCGCGTAATTGAAACGCAATCACGCTTTTCGCATTCTTCCGCACTACACACTAAATCAATTTCTCGCTTCCCATCAGATCGGATGGTTAACTTAAATTATACAGTCAACACTTTTATCTTGCATCAAAAATACGAGATTCTTATGAAACTCAAATGATTACATATATCAATAAACAAAGAAAAAAAGTAAATAAAGTTAATGAAATTTTTGAAATATTCTATATTAGTTTACAATCTAATATAAAAAAATTGAGTTTCAATGTTTATACTATTATAAAAGTTATTTTGTCTAATGTTTTTCTTGATTAATACAATAAATCAAGTCTATGTTAAATCGCATTGAATAAAGTTTATATAATAATTGTTGAAATATTTGTGAAAATAAGAAAAAAAAAAGTCGATTCTTACAAAATCTACTGTAATTAACAAGTATATTTTATTATTACATAATATAATTAATATCTCAATTTCTTTATTTAATTTATCAAAAAATTGTGTAAAATTTTACTTATTCATTTGCTGTTGATATTTGTCATTTTCTGTTTAAATTTTGTATAACTGAATTAATGTTATGAATGTTAGTTTACAATCTAATATAAAAAAAATGAGTTTCAATGTTTATACCATTGTAATAGTTATTTTTTCTCATGTTTTTCTTGATTAAAACAATAAATAAACTCTATGTTTAAATATTTTTATAATTAAGTTTTGACTTAAGTCTATATAATAATTGTTGAAATATTTGTGAAAATAAGAAAAAAAAAGTGGATTGAAACCATTTTTACTAAATCTACTATAATTAACAAGTATATTTTATTATTACATAATATAATTAATAACTCAATTTCTTTATTTAGTTTATCAAAAAATTGTGTAAAATTATAAAATTTTATTTATTCATTTGCTGTTGATATTTGTCATTTTTTGTTTAAATTTTGTATAACTGAATTAATGTTATGAATGTTAGTTTACAATCTAATATAAAAAAATTGAGTTTCAATGTTTATACCATTGTAATAGTTACTTTTTTCTCATGTTTTTCTTGATTAAAACAATAAATCAAGTCTATGTTTAAATATTTTTATAATTAAGTTTTGACTAAAGTCTATATAATAATTAATAAATAAATCAAGTCTATGTTTAGATATTTTTATAATTAAGTTTTGACTAAAGTCTATATAATAATTGTTGAAATATTTGTGAAAATAAGAAAAAAAAAGTGGATTGAAACCATTTTTTCAAAATCTACTGTAATTAACAAGTATATTTTATTATTACATAATATAATTAATAACTCAATTTCTTTATTTAGTTTAACAAAAAATTGTGTAAAATTATAAAATTTATTTATTCATTTGCTCTTGATATTTGTCATTTTTTGTTTAAATTTTGTGTAACTGAATTAATGTTATGAATGAAGAGTTTGGATTTTGAAAAAAAAAACAGAGTTAATGTATGCAGACGTTAATGATGATACCGGAGATACTTAGATTTTTATGGACTGCTGTTTGGTAAATAAAGAGGTAAATGTGAGGCCCGAATTCTCTAAAATGCCTTATGTACACTAGTATTCAACAACAACAACAAGAAAAAATCAACAACAAAAAGTTTTATAGTCTTCCTCGCAACAATAACCATAAATACGTGTATTTGCGTGATGTTTGCGCGAGAAGTGGTTATATAAAGTGGTCGTTTCAATAAAACCAATAATCCGCACAATTTATGGTCCGCACTCGCACATGGCACAAACCACGGCGAAGGAAGGAATTAACGACCGTTACTTCTTCGTCCTCCTCCTCTTCTCTAGAAAAAGAAGTGTTGACGAGAGAGTTGAGAGAAAAGTGTTGCATCTCGTACCACGATTCTCCTCACCTCGTTACCAACCGCAATATATTAATTGTTTTTGCAATTTTGTAACGTCCTTTTCTCATCTTTGTTTTTTTCTTTTTTTTCAGAGCTGATGTGCTGTTCGCACGCCACAGGAAGCTGCAAGTCGATCTGCGAGAAGGTAAACTATTTTCGTCCTTTCGTTTGATCTTCATTTCGCCTCCTCCCAATCCCAGCGACTCACCTAATCAAAACGCCAATAAATTTGAACCGTTGCTGGGGATGCGAAACGGGGTCTACACTAGTCCTCTTGGATGGATGCCAAAAGGGCCTTTTCCTCTTCCTCCTCAACCCACCTCTAAATCAAAACGTGCAGAGGAAGAAACGAACACTTCTCTCAAAGCAGCGCACTTAATTATACCGTTTCTAAATTTGATCGTCCGGATTTACCGGTAAACCGTGACATATTTTTGGATAGTATTTCACGCGGCAAGAACTCTCCTCGTGCATCCTCAATCATGCACTTTTCTTTCTTCATTTACATTCCTTTTTTCTGCTTCGTTTCGTATACGGACTTCTTTTTTTTTGCATAACGTGTACTGGAGATTCTCACGCGAAGCGCCACATGCTGGTTTATCTTCTACGAAATACCAAATAAATTGTGGAGGAACGAAAAAGAACTTGAAGGAAAGGAAGGAAGGAAAAATGTCTGCGTGAATTTATTATTTCCAAAACGAGAATATCCGAAATACGTTAACTAAAAAAGTGTAAAAGTTACAATATAAAATTATTTATAAAGAACACAAAACTTATGAGTTGTAAAATTAAATTCTTTTGTAATTTGATTGAAAATTTAATTTAAACTAAAACTATATAAAACTATATAAAACGAGAATATCCGAAAGACGTTAACTGAAAAAATGTAAAAGTTACAATTTAAAATTATTTATAAAAATTTACAAAAAAAAACACACAAAAGTTATGAGTTGTAAAATTAAATCCTTTTGTAATTTGATTGAAAATTTAATTTAAACTAAAACTATATAAAACGACAATATCCGAAAGATGTTAACTAGAAAAGTGTAAAAGTTACAATTTAAAATTATTTATAAAAATTTACAAAAACTAAAAAGTGGTAAAAGTTACAATATAAAATGATTTATAAAAATTTACAAAAACTAAAAAGTGGTAAAAGTTACAATATAAAATTATTTATAAAAATTTACAAAAAAAAAGAACAAAACTTATGAGTTGTAAAATTAAATTCTTTTGTAATTTGATTGAAAATTTAATTTAAACTAAAACTATATAAAACTATATAAAACGAGAATATCCGAAAGACATTAACTAGAAAAGTGTAAAAGTTACAATTTAAAATTATTTATAAAAATTTACAAAAAAAACCCACAAAAGTTATGAGTTGTAAAATTAAATTCTTTTGTAATTTGATTGAAAATTTAATTTAAACTAAAACTATATAAAACGAGAATATCCGAAAGAAGTTAACTAAAAAAGTGTAAAAGTTACAATATAAAATAATTTATAAAAATTTACAAAAAAAAAAGAACACAAAAGTTATGAGTTGTAAAATTAAATTCTTTTGTAATTTGATTGAAAATTTTATTTAAACTAAAACTATATAAAACGAGAATATCCGAAAGACGTTAACTAAAAAAGTGTAAAAGTTACAATATAAAATAATTTATAAAAATTTACAAAAAAAAAACACAAAAGTTATGAGTTGTAAAATTAAATTCTTTTGTAATTTGATTGAAAATTTAATTTAAACTAAAACTTTATAAAAATATACAAAAATTTAGTTGTGAAATTCATTGGCTAATTAAAGAAAAACAGCAGTTTTGAGTTGTTAAAGAAACGAGTGAAAAATATGTGGCATTAGTCACCGATTGAATAGATTAAGTCACAATTAAAGAATTTGTTAATCAAAACAGATACGAAGAGAAGAAGGCAGCAGCAGTAGTAAGAATGGTGAGTGGAGAGAGACTGAAAGAAAAGAGAAAGAGATGCCTCCCACATTTCTTAAACAGCATCGGTCGAAGTTGTATGTTTTGTGATATAGAGAGATGCTGCAGCCGTACCAATAAAATACGTTGAGATGCATAATAAGTGAGCGCCTCATGCGGTGCAACAAGTGGCCGTGGATGTCTCTCCCGATGGAACCCGCTGCTAAAAAATGAACCCCCATAACTCACGGACAAGTAAAATTTCGAAAAACCAAAAAGAGACAACGGTAGAAGACAAAAAAAAGAAATAAGAGAAAGAGAGGAAAAGAGAAGGTACATGGGACATCCTCAACACGAATCCGCACTTCATTTGCATTCACCACTTGAATTTCATTCACCAACAAATTTCGAGAAACTTGAAAATTCTACATATAAATTGGAATTGAAAAAAAAAAAAGAATGTACACAACACATTTTCTTCTCAACTAGCGTCAACAACATCTGTTTGTGCGATACAAATGCTGCGTACTTAATATGTTTACAATCTGCTAGAGAAGAGGATCTCTTTTTTTGTTGTTGTTGTTGCTCTGTTTACACATTTCAAATTTCAAGAGACTACGTGTTGTTTTTCGATTATCCTTGTTTATCTCGTCTAATGGAAGGCATTGAAATTAGGCGGCAATAATATAAAAATGTATATAGAGGGAATGAATGGAACACTTCAAAAAAGAAACTAGAACGGAAGGGTTGCTGTAAAAGACATCAAAGAGCAAGCGTTTTTTTTTCTCACAGTCGTAAATATGTAACTTTGTGTTTGCGGTTAAAATGAATTTTTAGAAATCCATTAAAACGCAACTGTATAATCCATTGACGTAAACATTATGACTTGGAAATGTAAAAGGAGATTATACTTATATTTTTTATAAATATAGACATTTTATGATTCGTATGAAATTTAAGCTTGGAGAATGATAAATGTTTGCGGTTTTATTATTTTCTTGACGTATATTTCTTATATCTACAAATTTATTTAAGAATTTGTGAATAATGTAAATTAATTTTATAATAAGCAAATTTTAATTCTGACGTTTTTTCTTAAACAACTTTATTTGATTTATTAGAAATTTTAATTATTTGAGTCAGAAAAAGTTAATATATTTGCAAAATATGTAACTTTATTCAGTTATTTATTGAAATTGAAATAAGTATACACTTGGTTCTCTTTTTATGCGGTAGATACGTTCCACAGGAAAACGCATAAAAATAAATCGCACAAAAAAGGACTAGACACACGTATAAAAATAAAGGATACGTTCCATAATTTTTTAAAACCGCATAAAAATAAATCAATGAGTTACAATATACCGAAAATCGCATAAAAAAGGGTTTATTAAATTTCAGAAAAATAATTAGTCTTACTATATTCTTTCTGAAATGTTTATTCATAATTTTATGAAAACGTTAACAATCATAGACAAGTTTATTAAATTTCAGAAAAATATTAGAATTATCGTCGCTATATAATAATCAAATTTTAATTATTAGAAATTTAATTATTTGAGTCAGAAAAAGTTATAATTTACAAAATATGTAACTTTATTCAGTTTATTTAAATTGAAATAAGTATATTTTTGAAAAATGTGTTGTTGTGATTGAAAGATGAAAAAAAAAAAAATGTATGAAGTGAAATGTGGCATGTGTCTTTTACGCAATATTGGTTACTAAACACACCAGATATTGGATTCTAAGCAGATGTGAAGAGGCGCAACTGAAATGTCGGAGAAGAAGAAAAAAAACACACGCTCATATAATAAAGAAGATGAGGAGGAGAAAAAAAACACTTTGGGGCTCTCAAAGATTACGCTGATTAATGTGACATAAACACCGCAGAGGCCTCTTTTTGAAGATAGAGAAGAAACACGAAGAGAAAGAAAGAAAAAAACATATTTGTATATATTATATAAGTTGAGTGCTTCAAGAGAGAGACTGAAATATTTATTAATATGGGCCACATAATTAATCCCACGTTTCTCGTGTTATTTATGCTAAAAATGTGAGGGGTTGACGAATAGCGAAAAGCTTTTCCACCCTCATCGACAGTTTCCTCTTTTTTTTTCTTCTTTATGCGTTTGTTATGTGTGTGTGTATATATACATGATTGTTATTATTATCATTTCGGTGGATGTAACTAGGCGGCGACGATGAGCCCGGGGATTTGTCGACACACTTTGGAATCCTTTTGATCTTCAAAAGCGGGAGCCGTCCAAATTGGCCAAAGACGAATGCGTCGCACGCCATTCACGAAAAAACAAAATGTTTTACGACCCCGATTTTCCTTTCAGAAAAAAAATAAAATGTAGAAGAGATGCTCGCTATACCTATAAATCACGACTGATCTTTCTTAGTTGGCTCCTCTTCACCGAGTCAACGCTTCCTATGTTTGATTTTCTCTCCTTATTTTAACATTACCTTAATTCCACTTGTCTTAACTTTATTGAGTCATTAATTTAGTTTAAGACCTTAATTTTCGTTTAGAACAAAAGAGAAATACATACACACGTTTCATATAAATCACTTTTAATTTCGTGAGACAAAGCCTTCTTGTGTTTGATTTTGTCCTTATTTTAAGAAAATCCTGATTCTATTTTCTCACTTTATTGACTCAATAATTCCTTTATTATTACACTAATTGTCATATTTTCTCTTCTAACTTTAACCAAATTTTATATATTGCTCTATTCATTCAATAATCTTATTAAAAGACATACATTTTTTTTCTTCTAATTAATTAACTTTTCTATAATTATATATTGTCAAGAGGATACTTGCAATTAGTGAAAAACTAATAACAAACTATATTTCACCTTAATTTGGTAGATTTTGAGAATCCTGAATTAAATTTATATAGAATTATCAAAATTTCTCATGGTAATTTTAAAGTAAAATTTATAAATTAAAGAAATCATAAAAAAATGAACTTTTCAATAATTGCAACTATTCAATAATTAGTAACAAACACTCATATTTTAAACTATATTTAACCATCATTTAGTAGGTTTTGGGAATACTCAATTAATTTCATAGAGAATTAGCAAAATTTTCTCATAGTAATTTATGAATTAAAGAAATCAATTAAAAACTAAAACTTTTCAATAATTGCAACTATTCAATAATTAGTAACAAATACTCATATTTTAAACTATATTTAACCATTATT